CCACTGAGACCCATCCCCAGCCCTATTTTGTATTTTATTTAGAGACAGGGTCTCACCGATTTGCTTAGTGCCTCACTTTTGCTAAGGCTGGCTTTGAACTTGTGATCCTCCTGCCTCAGCCTCCTGAGCTGCTGGGAATCCAGGCGTGCACCACTGTGCCCAGCATGTGACTTAGATCTTGGGTGGCTCTCTTAGCTCTCTGGATGAAAAGTACCTGCCAGGTGGAATGGCCAGCCTCCTGCCACTGGGGAACCAGCAGGACACCTGGTCTGCTGGTGCCTGATCCCTGCTTAACCTTATAACACATTGCACAACTCTTCCTAAGAACCCTCCGGGTCCAGCCCGGGACTCTGCTAYGAAATGGATTCCAATGTCCACCCAGACCACCTCCTCACAAATCAGGAAGTTAGAATGGACCGAGGCCAAGGGAAGTTCTGTTTTGAGTCTGTCTTGGGTCATTGCATCCAAATGGACAAGAAATCCTAAAGGGGTCCAGGGGCTTCTGGGCATCAGCCAGAGGCTGCTAGGAAATGTGGAGGCGCCTCCAGATACACTGGGCTCCAGTGGCCGGCCGATGGAAAACACAAATGGGCACTTGGCCCGTTGAGGGGGAAAAGGCGAGAAGGCTCAGGAAATCCAGTGGCCACGCTTGTCACTGGGACTGAAGGCCCCTTTTTCCCTTGCTGGCCGCTATTTTACAAGCCTCTCTTCTCCTCTGTCCTGCCGCCCTGTTAAATGCTGAGCCAGGACAGCCCTGAGCGTGGGGCGGGAGGCGGGGAGACTGGCCAGCAGCCCAAGGAGGGAAGGCCACCATCTGGTCATCTCCTTAACAGAGGCCAGCCATGGACAGCCAGGCCTGTGGGTTTTGTCTAAGCCAAAAGCTGCCGGGGCCAGCCAGGCGCCTCAGCAAATGCTTGTAATTTCATGTGGGTTAACAGTCCTCCCGTTGGCATCTATAAAATGGGCTCCCGCTACTTCTGCATTGGCGTTTCTTAGGCTACGCCTAACCCCGATTTCTCAACTGAAAAATCTTTTGCACCTGGAAGACAGAGACACCGTAGAAGAGCACTGAATTTGGAGTCCAAAGATCCTGCTTTTGCCACTTATTTGCTGCATATCTTGGCCTCACTGGGCTTTGATTTTCTCACCTAAAATGCAGCTGCTTCCCAGGCTGATTATGGGAACTAAACCAAATGCCCACGCAGGGCTCATCACAAAGCCCCTTCAGGACAGCCCTGGGCCGAGCACAACATGCACGTTATATCATTTCACCTTCCAAATGACCCCATGAGTAGGTATTACCATTATCCCTACTGTATAAAGGCCCAGAGAGGTCAAGCTATTTGCCTGGGATCACTCAGCTAGGAAAGGAGGCCACCGTGATTCAAACCTGGTCTGTCTCTTCTGAAACATTGCTGTTTTAACCATCTTGATTTACTGGTTTTTATGTCATTTGTTATAACTGATGCCATCAAAGATATAACAGAACCATCAGGGAGGGGAGAGGCAGATAGAGGGGACATTAAGACCTTAGAGAGCCTGGGGTCTCACCGCTATTTGCAGGATGAACTGGGACCTGGAATCCCATCAGTATAGCCCCCTTTCTGTCCTCTTTTTACAGGTGTCCAGGAGGCACTCATGTTGGCTTCAAAGCTGTCACCCTCATATTAACTTGCCCATCTAGCAACCTGATGAGCTCACCCTGCAGTCAGGGATCCCAGATGAGCCTTGCCTGGTATGGGGCTGATGTTCTGCAGAGCCTCAAGCAGGGAGCAACAGGACCTCCTGGGTCATCAGCAGAACCAGGAAAGAAGCCAGCAAGGCGCCCTGGGTCTCTCCTCCAACCTCTTATTACACCCACCCTTGCAAGATGAAGTCAGCCGCACACTCTGCATATTAAGTGAGAATTATTTGCCCATTTTACAGTCATGCAATTCACTCCATTTAGTTGTCACCTACTGGCTCCCTTGCCCAGTCCTTGAGCTCAGCAGTGTACAACCAGCATGATTCTACCGAAAAGAGTCCCCCAGAGGTTAGAGTTGCCCAAGATCATACCCCAGCTGAGAACTGTGCTCTTTCAGACCTGCTCCCAAGGACTCCCGGCCAATGCAGATAAGCTTGGTTGCTTTGATTTCCTTGTCTAACTCCATGATTTGCAAAGATGGCTGGCTATCGGAATCACCTGGGAACTTATAAAACTCTCAAAGGCCACCAGGTATGGTGGCACACGCCTGTAATCCCAGCAGCTGGGGAGGCTGAGGCAGGAGAATTGTGAGTTCAAAGCCAGCCTCAGCAACTTAGCAAGATCCTAAGCACCTTAGTGAGATCCTGTCCCTAAATAAAATATAGAAAGGGCTGGGGATGTGGCTCAGTGATTAAGTACCCCTGGGTTCAATCCTTGGCACCAAAAGAAAAAGCCTGTGTCGTGACAGATCTTTATATAGAAGTCTCATTTAATTAAATTAAAAAGAAGGCTGGTGCTGCAATTCTTAAGCCCTAGGGGTTCCTAGCACTTCCCTTCCGACCCCTGACATGCGTGTGTACACAGCTCTCCCTGTCATCACCCCCCACTCCCACCCCATGCTGTTTACCTAATTCAGCATCTTGAGAGGCAAAGGCAGATTTTTCCAGCTGCAACTCTGGGCTAAAGAACCAGGYACATCCCTGCCTCACCTACCACACTGGTGATTTTATTTGAAGAGGGGAGAGGGCTTGGAGCAGATCCTTGAGCTGGGCATGGCCACTGATTGGACCCTGGGAATGGGACTGATTCCATCATTTTCAGATCCCGGTGCCAAATAAAAATTCAGGGCCATTGTCCAAGATGTATTAGGCAGCAGCAGCAGGTTAAACAAACACCGTCCCTCTTTTTTTTTTTTTTTTTGTACCCGGGATTGAACCCAGGGGCACTTAACCACTGAGCCACATCCCAGCCCTTTTGATATTTTATTCAGAGACAGGGTCTCACTAAGGTTCTTAGGGCCTTGCTAAGTTGCTGAGGCTGGCTTTGAACTCTCACTCTGAGCCTTCCTGCCAGGGTGAGGCCTGACTCTGTAGCAGTCAACCCACTGGCTACTGGTGACCTATGGCCAGTCAGAGGATTTTTCTCTGGAATCTAATGGGAGAGATGGACAGACAGAGACTGTCTGTCCATCTCTCCTGGAAATGAAGAAAACCAAAGAGACTGTCTGTCCATCTCACTGGAAATGAAGAAAACCAAAGTCATAAAAAAAAAAAACAATCCCCAAAACCTGCTGACAGTTTTCCTCCACCAGAATGACCTTTTAAAAATGGAATCAGAAGCACGATTTCTCCCAGACTTGAACCCACCCGGCCACCCTCTCTCTGAACATTCTGCCGCTCACTCTCCCCACCCCGGGCACACTGTGTCTTTGTGCTCTCTGAACAGGCCGGCTTGTTCAAGGTGCATGAGTCACAAGTGCTATTCCCCAGGGCCCAAGCAGCCCCCTCTTTCCATCTCAGCTGTCAGATTTTAAATGTCACCTCTCCAGAGAGGCCCTCCCGCTGCACCTGGCTGGAGATGGGTCCTTCACCAAATTCTACGGAGCCCGCCTGTTGCCACATCTATAACTGTTTTCATTGGTTTGCACGTGTGTGCTATTTACTGTCTGTCTCCCCACCAGTGTCAGCTCTGTGAGAGTGGGGACCTTGTCATTCAGTGTCCCTCTGCGTGTCCAGTGTCTGCCACAGCACCCAGCAGATTATAGGAACTCAAACATTTAGGGAATGCATGACTTTTTAATGATCACATACTTTCTCCATGGTCATTCTGTTATGGAGACACTCTTGGTTTTGTGTCCTCATTTCCCATCTGGCCACAGGACTGAATTCCTTCTCCCAATGCTTGCTGGGTACGAAAGTATGTTTTTGTTTTTGTTTTTGTTTTTGTTTTTGTTTTTCAAATGTTCATCCTGCCATCTCCTTCTCTAAAGTTGGACCATTTATTTCTGTTTCCTGCTTTATCACGTTGGCAACATACAGTTAGTTCTTTTAAAGATGGCAGAACTAGGGAAGTATGTAGCTGGGGCATGGAGGGACTARGGGGAGGGTGAACAGCCCGGGAGTCACCGTGGCTATGAAAGTGTAGTTTGCCAATGCTGAGAGCTGAGGATATGGGGAAGAAAGAGTGTAGCTGAGCACTATTCCGTTAGAGAATCGGTGGAACTTGGGAATGGAAATAGGCATCAAAAGGAGAGAATTCCAGTCACCGCACACACACACACACCTGCAATCCCAGCAGCTCAGGAGGCTGAGGCAGGAGGATCGAAAGTTCAAACCCAGCCTCAGCAACTTAGTGAGGCCCTAAGCAACTCAGCGAGACCCCCATCTCTAAATAAAATATAAAAAAAGGCTCAGTATCGCCATCCATCTGAGCTGGCAACCTAATGCTGGGTTCACAAATCTGACTATTCCAATAACTTAAGAAAAYGGTGAAGAAAGCACACAAACACACAGAAGTACCTTTTCAAAATCTGGGGATGGCTCTGTGACTTTAGGGGTCCATGAAAGAGAGTGAGCCATTGGAATTCTTTATTCTTATATAGAGGACACACAAGAGGAGTTTCCATGGAACATTCTATCCCCAAAAGGGCAAAGGGGTGGGATTACAAAGGAACAGGTGAGTGTAGGTCAACCCCACCAGGTGATGCGCACTCCTGGAGCCACGCCTCATTATCTGAGCGGGGATAAAAGTGCAATGTATTGTGGGGCACAATGACTGTTTGGTACCCCTTTACTCAGGACTTAAAGGTGTGTACCTAGCTCATGTCCAGAGCGGCTCCCAACAGCTAGGGATGTGGCTCAGTGGTTAACAGCCCCTGGGTTCAATTCCTGTTACCAAAACAAGAAAGTCAGGTATCCTGGTCAGGGTGTCACAGTGGTAAGTGACCAAGATCCACCTGAGAAGAGAACCCATGCCCCGCGGGGACAGGTGGGGTYGTGAACCCGGCTCTGACCAATTCCTTTGTCCATCTCCGCAGCCTCAATGTACTCAGAGATCCAGAGGGAGCGGGCAGACATTGGGGGCCTAATGGCCCGGCCAGAGTACAGAGAGTGGAACCCAGAGCTCATCAAGCCCAAGAAGCTGTTGAACCCCGTGAAGGCCTCCCGGAGCCACCAGGAGCTGCACCGTGAGCTGCTCATGAACCACAAAAGGTAGGGATGGAGCTGGTTGCCCGGGCCCAGCAAGCAAGCCCCTCCCCAAGCAAGCCTGCCGGGGCTCGGGCGGCCGCTCATGGAAAGCAGGAATGGCCACCATCCTGGGTCTCCTGGGGGCTGAGGGGGGCTGAGGGTGCCTCACGTGATCACCCAGCAGAGACTCTGAAGGTCTGATCCTCTGTGGGCCCCTAAGAGGCAGAGGGCCCTGAAAAACCCCCATTCTAGCCGGTTGAGATGTAGCACACCTATAATCCCAGCAGCTTGGGAGGCTGAGGCAGGAGGATCGCAAGTTCAAAGCCAGCCTCAGCATCTTAGCAAGGCCCTGAGCAACTTATTTGAGACCCTGTCTCTACAAAATATATATATATAAAAGGGCTGGGGTTGTGGGTTAGTTGTTAAGTGCCCCTGGGTTCAATTCCTAGTACCAAAAAAAAAAAGAGAAATAAAGCCCTATTCTCCCTCCCAGACACCCACTTCATGCCAACACTTCAGATCTATTTGCTGAGAGCACACTGTGCGCCAGGCACTGTACCCAGACCCAGGGTACAAGAAGGAATTTCCTGCTCTCACAGAGGGGGATAGACATGTAACCAGGCGGTAGGATGGGTGCCCAGCAGGGAAAGAGGGTCTGGGACTCTAGAAGAGAAAGGGTCCAAGATAACTGCACTGGGAGATACTCAACAATCAATAGGGAGAGGGAGACTGAGGCTCCCCTCTGAGACCTGGGAAACCCCTCCYTGCCCACGGGTCCAGAATGGAGGCAAGAGTGCCTTCATAGCTCCCCCTCCTGGCCAGATCTGGTTTTACAGCCGGCCATGATGGCCATTCTGGGTTTCAGGTGTGTGAACCCCACACTCTAGCAGATTTTCTTTTGTATATAGGGCTGGTTTTGGTTTTGCTTATTGTTGTAACATGAGAATTTTCTATGATTGCCTTTTAGGATGATCATTCCTTTTATTTTTTTAATTTATTTTTTAATTTATTTTTTTTTTCTGTTGTTGATGGAACTTTATTTATTTATATGCAGTGCTGAGAATCTAACCCAGTGCCTCCCTCAACACATGCTGGGCAAGGGCTGTCCCACTGAGCTACACCTGCAGCCCATAATCATGTCGACAAACATCAACACAATCAGAAATAGCATAAAAACAAGCCAGGAGAAATATTCATAATATAAATACATTATATTGGGGGGGGGGAAGCTGTATCTACAGAAGAATACTAATATCTTCCATCTCTTAATCCACAAGGAAAAGATGAACAAAAATAGGCCTAGTGAATTCACAAAAAGAGAACTGCTGGCTGGTAGATCTATCAAAAGCTGTTCCCTATAACTAATAATCAAGGAAACAAAGGAAACCAGATATTATTTTGTGCCTATCAGATTCTCAAATAGAAAGATTGGCTGGTGATGGTGGGGAGAAAGAGATGCCCTCGGACACTGCTGATGGAAGCAGACATTGGGTAACTTTTCTAGAGGCAAATGGAAATATGTACCCACCCTCTTTTAAGCCTGACCCAACATTTCTACCTTTGGAAACTCGTCCTAGGGACTGGGGCTGGGGCTCAGTGGTAGAGCGCTCGCCTAGCATGCATGAGGCACTGGGTTCAATCCTCAGCACCACATAAAAATAAAATAAAGATATTGTGTCCACCTATAACTAAAAAATAAATATTAAAAAAAAAAGAAAGTCGTCCTAAAAAAAGATCAAGAAAGAACCCAAAATCTGGGCTGTGCAGTCAGAGGGAGGGTGGTGGGATGGGGGTCACTGAGGTGYAGCCCTGAGACTGAGGGAGGTGGGAAGGAGAGGGGTTCTCCTAACGGCTCCCCCCACCCCAGGGGCCTTGGCGTGGACAGTAAGCCAGAGCTGCAGCGTGTCCTGGAGCATCGCCGCCGCAACCAGCTCATCAAGAAGAAGAAGGAGGAGCTGGAGGCCAAGCGGCTTCAGTGCCCCTTTGAGCAGGAGCTGCTGAGACGGCAGCAGAGGCTGAACCAGGTGAGTAGGGGGCACCCAGTCCCGGCCCCCGCCTCCTTCAGGGCTGTCTCCTGGGCCTGGGAGGAAGGTCAACAGAAAGCACTGGCCTGAGCCTTCACTCTGCCACCCTGCTGTGTGACTCTGGGTAAATGGCTTCCCTTTCTGAACCCCGGCCTCTGTGCCAGCCCAGTACACTGCAGGCTAGCTCTGATGATCATAACTTGCCCTCTGAGCCAGGTGACATTACCAATTTGAAGGAGGCCCRGAGGCCAGGGATCTGAATCCGCCTTTGTAAGGCAAAATAAATCTCATGCTGTCCCCAGGTCCACCAGGCTGGTGGCAAAACCAATCCCCAGGTTGTTCTGTGGGGAGGACCTTTGGCCCAAACCCCCATGGCTGATGAGAACAGGAGTCTTCCTGGCCCCCGCCCACTTCATACCACCACTTCTGTCTCCTTCAGCTGGAAAAACCACCAGAAAAGGAAGAGGAACATGCCCCAGAGTTTATCAAAGTCCGGGAAAACCTGCGGAGAATCGCCACCCTGGGCAGTGAGGAGAGGGCGCTGTAGAGTGGCTGCTGGGCACTGCCCRCCCTGCGCTCCCTGGCCCAGGCTCCTCCAGCCCCCTGCGCCTGGCTGCCCTGGGCTGTCCATGATGTTCACACCTGCTCCCTTAGAAATGGGTCCCCCCAGGGTGCCTGGCTCACCCTGGGAAGCTGGGGACCCCGAGCTCCCACACTGTTCCTTCCGAGCGTCCATGTCTCCTGCCCCAAGAGGAATTCACTGCCAGGAAAACCTTCTCCAAGGGACCCCTCCCTGATCCTGAGCCCTGCCCAGGAAACTACCCTGGCAGAATTGGAAAAGAAGGACAGGTCCCCTCTGTGTCCTGCCAAGTCCTCCATTCTGCCCAGGACTGTCCACCGGGAGACTCCAGGGCCCCATGGGGCCCTGCCTCTCAGAGTAGCCCAGCTCCTAGGCCCAGAAAATTCTGGCTGCGGTTTTACCTAAGGTCAGGTGAGGAGCAGATAAGCAGAGCTTAGCCTGGGGAATGCCTGCTTTGGAAGCCACTGAGCAGAGAAAGGCTAATCTGTCCACAATGAGCGAGGTCCCCAGGAGGTCAGATGGTGAGGGGGGAAGGGTACTAACCCAGACAGCCTTTTAGGGTTTGCAGGCTCTGCCCCATGCCCTGCTTGTTCCTCCTCCACAGCCCACCCTACCTGGGCCTTGGAACCACACCTGGCAGGGATACAGCATTCCCGGTCCCAGTTTAGAAAAGCGCYTCACAAAATTTACTGTGCATACTAATCACTGGGGATCTCTTTTAAACACAGCTCCTGGGACTGGGTGCAGTGGCACACGCCTGTGATCCCAGAGACTCTGGAGGCTGAGACAGGAGGATTGCCAGCCTTAGCAGCTTACCAAGGCCCTGGGCAACCCAGTGAGACCCTGTCTCAAAATAAAAAATAAAATGGGCTGAGGATGTGGCTCAATGGTTAAACACCCCTGGGTTCAATCCCCAATACCCCCCCMAAAAAAAAATTTTTAAAAAACAGTTTCCGACTCCATAGATCTGGGCAGGGGCTTAGATTCTACATGGGTAACAAGCTCCCGTTGAGGCTGAGACTGCTGGTTTGAGGACCACCCTGAGCAAAACTGGAGGGTGCGGGGAGGTGCTCAGTGGTTCAGATCAGAAACACCATTCAACTCCCATGAACCTCTGCCCTGGGGGTGCCCAAGGCCACCTCTGCAGCCCAAGGACTCTTGGTTCCTTATCCGGCCCACCTGCAGGGACTCCTGGCCCTGGAAGACTTTGGTTTCACAAATTCTGTTCAGTCACAGTGACTGCTTTGTTCACCAGAGCTGCATATTATTGCCAACTGTGTTCCTTACCTGTTTGACCACACCATTACCCAATTCTCGCCAAAAAAAAAAAAAAAAAAAAAAAAATGTTACCTTCTCTACAACAATGTGGAAAGCAAACATACCAAGATCTCCCCTAGGCTCCTCAAGGTACAAACAGTAGCTTCAAGACCCACTGCCACATCTGTGGCCTGGCCTCCTCAGCGACCCTTCCAGGCTGTCATGTAAAGAGACCTCCCCCACCGGCAGCCCCTCCAGGCAGTTCCCCCACTCTCCTTCCCCAGGATCCCTTCCTGGGTGAGACCCAGATATTCTAACCTTTTTTTCGATGAAGTTTTTAAAGACTTAGAGAACAAACCAGGCTTGTTTGTTTTCCCTTGAAGAATAAAATCCCTGCCTCGGGCTTTCTAAGCCCTTCATTGGAGGTGACGGAGATGGGTTAGAAAATAAACCCTCTGGCTCCACAAGAGCTGCTCTTGGGACACCCACTGACAGCTTGAAGCAAAGGTGGACCTACGGGAGGAAAGGGTTTATCCTGGTCGGGTTTCTTTTAAGTCACACATGACACTAGAGGGCATTTTGACCTATCACACATACATGGAGTCTAGCTTCCCATTCTTGTGGTTGGACGCGATGTGGTGTTTCCCTGGTCGTGTGTTCATAGAGGAACGTGGAAAGTTCGGTCCCATTCATTCCACTGTCTTTCCCATTCCCACCCACCATCCGCCATCCTGGTCTTAACCCTAACTGGGTGGCTTGAGGGTGACCGAGATGCCGTCCTTCTCCTGTGGGTGGGCAGGCATAGGGTGTAAGGATAGGTACGCCACCTGTGTGTGCGCACAGGTACATAAGCCAAGCTTTAAAAATGTCCCTGCTGAACGTGACTGTCCTGATGAGAATGTGGCAAAGTTATTCTAAGTGTCTCCTGGGTGAGACTTACGCTGAAGATGCATGATTCCTACTCAAAGCCCACCAGTTCCGGGAAGAAGTCACCTTCAGACATGCAAAGAGAAGCAAGATAGAGTGTTCCAGATTGAGTAGGACCACCCAAGGCAGCGCCCGAGGTTCCACCCGGTGGTGCCCAGAGGTGCTTCTGGAAGAGGAAGCCCCAGAAACACAAGGATCCTCAAGCACCGTGTCATTCAGGGGAGCCCCAGCAGACACCCTCGATGTGCTCCCCACTGGTCAGTCCCAACTCCATCTCTCTATCGCCTTCCACCAAGGAGGCTATAATTCCAGATTCTCACTGTTCTAGTCTTCTCTGCAGTTTGGGGTGACGCTGTGACCGAGTATGGCTAATGGCATTTAAATGGAAGTCTACAGGAGCTTCTGGGAAAGCTTAYGCTTTTCTGATCACAAGAAGCATAGCGTATTCCACGGCGCCCAGCTGGGTTCTCTTTTTCTAGACCTTTTCATTTAGCCCCCGGGGAACCAGTCTGAGAGCTGGAACTTGGACATCACTAATTCAGTAAATATTTGTTGAATGYCCATTCTGTGCCAGGAAGCATACTAGGGGCACGCTGGGCACAGTGGAGAGAAAGTGCCTGTCCTTCACCTGGATGACGGCTCTCCCTGCTACAGCCTTTGCCTCTACTGCCTGTTCTCAACAGAGCAGCCAAAATGACCCTGTTCAATTTTAGGCAGATCTTACCACTATGCACAGAGCCAACCATCAGGATCCAGTCCTTCCTGCAATCTCCTTCTTAACTCTCCTTTTTAACCTCTGACCTTCCCCCCCCATTCTCCCCCTCACTCAYGTAGCTCTGGCTGCCCTGGCCTCCCCACAGTCTCCAGGTGTACCCCACCTCTGTGTCTTTTCCTGGGCCAGGAAGATCCTTCCCCTTGGGAGCCACTGGGTCCACTCCCTTATTTTCTTCAGGTTTTTTGGTTTTGGGTTTGTTTTTTTTTTTTTTTTTTGGATGCTTCTTTCTAAACAAGGCCCCATGTAAAATGTCAACATTGCTGGATGTGGTAGT